ATTAACAACTCTTTTGTTTTATTTTTATGATTGAAAAATCTATTTAGAATCAAACCTTTGGGCCAATCACATTCAGAAATCAGGGATGATGTGCCCGCCCTTCCTCCTGTCTCCACTGAATTACTGGACTTAGTTTGCTGGGCACGGAGTTCGAACTTGTGACCTAATACATAAGTCCATCCTTTGCTAGTTAAGCTACCTCGGGGGCAGGAACTTTATTTTATTTTATTTTATGACAAGGAAACCTGTAGAAGGCCCACCATGCTGCTGTCACAGACAAGAGGTTTCGAACTTGAGACCTCCATATGGAAGTTCCAAGACAAACCATCTGAACCACCCTGAAGAGACCTTTTTTCTTTTTTTACCCTTCCGTAGGAGCTCCCATCTCTTTGCTCCCTTCGTTACTCGAACCCACAACCTTAGGGTTTGAGGTGGAGGGTGCTTACCATCTAAGAAAGCCTCTCTTGTATGGGGCAGGTGCTCAACAACTTCTACTATTTCTGTTATCCTTTGAAGTTAAGTGGACACTGAGTGATGAAGGTAAAATAAAAGAGTGAGTTGAAGGTAAAGTACTGATTCTTCATGGATAGAAAAGTGCCCCCTTTTTTTGTGTGTGGGGTGGTGGTGTAAAAGCAGTATTCCTTAAGGGGTCGTTTGGTTGCTTGTTTGGAAGTGAATTATTCATGTAATAAAATCAGCATAACTAGTATCGTGTTTGGTAGCTGTAAAGATATGACACCTGGGCCTAACTCAACCCAAAAGCTAGCTAATGAGGGGAGGTTTGTCCAAGTCCATATAAGGAGACCAATTTCCCATCCCTCTACCGATGTGGGACTTCTTAACACTCCCTCTCACGCCCAGACCTCAACTGGAGCATGAACACTTCTAAATGGGGGCCCAACATTGGTGAAATCAAATTGGGATGGGCCTGGCTCTGATACCATGTAAAGACATGGCACCTGAGCTTTATGAGGGGAGGTATGTCCAAATATATAAAGAGATCAATTTCCTATCCCTCTACCGATGTGGGACTTCTTAATAGTAGTATTTCAATTGCTAGGTATAAAATTCAGCACACCAAATACGATGTGTGCTGAATTTTATACCTTGCTTTCCAATTTGCTCTATTCCAGCTTTCCCAAATTTGCTCATAGAAAACCACCTTGATTTACATATCAGTTACTTCTTGAATATTACAGTAACTAGGGATGGCAAATTGTGTGGTGCAGTGTGGTTGTGGGGTAAACCCGCGAAGACTTCAACTTGCCCCACATAGCAAAATTTTCTATTTTCAACCCGCCCCTCATGATTTGCTATTTTGTTAATTTAAAACAATTTGATTTTGATATTCTTAAATTTAATATTTTTAATGAATTGCTAATTCTAAATTAGTAAATAATATAAATAAAATGCAGGTAACAAAAGAAATTACAAGTTTGGAATGGATAAAGACATCAAGTAAAGAAACTCTACTCTAGCTTATTACTAAACAATATATCAAAACATAAGTTCAACATAAGGAAAAATATAAACCTAGCTAGATGGATCTAAAGAAACAGAAAAGAAATTAGGGAAGAAATGAACTACAGTAACCTTTCTAAAAAGTTGAAAGTAATTATCATGCATGGCTTCAGGTCAAATGTTATATTCACATTCCAAAACTTGTTTAATATGGAACTGGAAAAAAATATATAAGCTAATGATTTAAGTTCATAATTTATCCTAAAACTTGTGTGCTAAGCTAATCCAGATTATATAAGAAAACATCCATCTAAATAAATATAGAAGAATACCCTAAACCAAACAATTAAAATAGAACTCAAGAATAACACAGTTGAAAGGGTGCATGCAGCAAGCCCGCAACTCGCACTGCCCCACATTAAATTTCAAAAAATTATTTTAACCCGCACCTGCCCAACCGAGTAAGGTCAAACCTTCCTGCCTCCCTAACTGCTACTCCAGAAAGAGCTAAGACCTCTTTTATTCTTATAAAATCTCATATAATCAAAAAGTGATCTTTATTATCTCTACTTTCTCAGCCCATCTCTCTCCTTTCTTAGAGAACTAGATATGACTACATCAAGTGGGATACAATATGCTTGGTCAGAGGATAGTCATAATTCCTGAAACGGGGGGGGTGGGGGGGTGATCTAAGGGTGATTAAATTTCTCTTATAGTGGTGATCATATCGATATCAGGTGGTGTACATCCAAGGTAGAAAGGTTGTGTGATTGTCTCAAAAAAATAATTCAAGCGAGGATAGTATAGAGCTACAATAATAGGTTATAAATCCTGGATGTAGTACTTTATCAAAAGAAACTTTGGATGTAGAAGCGCATAATTAATTTTTATGAAAATTGTGAATTATCCGGTAAGAAATCCAGTCATTTTTTAAATCAGAAATTGGAAAGTAAAGACACAGAATGGATTCTTTCACTTGTCAAAATGTTTTAAAAAATGAATAAGGCATAAAGGGCCCCCGGGCTTAGTACAAGTGGGGAAGGTTGAGGGATTTGTGACTAAGGTCAAAGGTTCGAGTCCTGTGCCATGTGAACTAAGTCTGGTATATAAGGTGTAGGGTAGATGGGGGACCTATAATTTCTGTGTTTCAAAAGTCGCGGTTGGTCCTAATGGTTGACTCCAGACAAACTTATTTGTTTTAAAAAATTAAAAAAAGAAATGAAAGAGAAGCAGCTTCCTATGGTTAAGGTTTTTTTGAGTTTTTTCCCTTAAAAGACTTCAATCTTATGTTACTCGGACTCGGGTATGGGTATGCGATACAAGTGTGGATCTGAAGGTTGGATTTTGTATCATATAAATTTTAGGATTTAGGGTACGGATCCGAGATATCTATTATCTTATTTATAAGATATCTCGTGTAATAGCAAAATATTCTCATATTTTATATTGCTATATTACATGAATATAAACCCAAAATTAAACTAAATGCCAGATCGATCTATACTTCTTGATCATAAATGCAGTCAAAACACCCAAGTTAAGTTGATCGAATTTTATGTGGACCCCACACCTACATGGCTACACCCACAACCAAATCGAACATGGATGTGGCAAGGATTTTGGAGGGTCCAAGTAACATAGCTCCAACAGACTTCAATTGATCTTGCCTTCTTCCACCTCTTGCCATAGAGTTATTGATTTGTCTCAAAGTTTGATGATTCTTGGGTTTCTTTTGTAATTTTTATAGTTACATGAATGTCAGCAACTCAGCATGTTACAGCACTCTTGAGGCTCGATTGCTCTCAGATTATTCAAATTGGAATATTTCTCCTTGTAGCTTATTCAGTTTCTAATCACACTTATTTATTTGTTCATGTAGGATGAACAAAGAACTTTGGATGCATACCAAAAAAAAGCTGAATTACATAGGTGACCCCTTAAACTCGTTTTTTTTCCTCTCCATTTTGACTGCTAAACCAAGTATAGTACCTATTGAACACTTGAAGTGAAGACAAATTGTGTCAATTAGACAAACTTCTTACATGGTATAGTGTGACACCACTTATGAGTGTGAAAATTCATTTTTCAATTTATTTATTTTTTTGATGAGGTATTTTTCAATTTTTTTCTTCAATCTACTTATTTTCTGCCGCTGTATCTTGACCACCGTAGCCGCTGCATATGGCCTCCAATCCACCGCCACTATGCCACCTCCACCACCATGGAAACTACCTCTATTACTCTCCCACCCAGCTCCTCCACTTTGCGGCATCACCACCACCGCGAAGCCCAAGCCCTAACTGAAACCCAAATGAAAGCCCACACCTTCACTATTTAAGTTCATGTCCATAAGAAACCCATGCTAGTTCTCTCTCCAATAACCCATGAAATTCTCAAAATTTTAGAACAATTTCAGAGGCAAAAGATAGAATATCTAGGCCCAAGGACCTAATGGGCATCTATAGTCATCGACGGTGGACAATTGTAAGCTGTGATAGAGGTGGTATTGTGAGGGAATGAATCAGTGGACAGGGCCACTAGAGCACTTCCCTAGTGAGGGACTACAGCGGCGACACAATGCGTGTTGAGTGCTCCTGAAAGGGGATCTATCGATTTTCGTCAGTGTTTCTCTTTTTCTTTTTGGCATTTGTTTTTTTCTCAGTGATGTGTTTTTTCTTATTGCTCTTGCTCTTTTTACTGAGAGAAACACATCACTGAGAAGTTTTTCATTTAGCTGTCAAAATGAAAAAAAAAATTGGCAATTAGGAGGCTGCCTATATATTCAACCAAAAAAAAAAAAACTGATGCTTGCCATTATAGCATGAAGCTTGCCTGTATTTGTTTTGTGACATGCTTGCCCACACTTTGTGCAATTGTTAACCACTTCTACTGCATATGTTCTTTATATGAAGTTTTTAGTTGTAACTGCGTCAAATTTTCCAAACTCGCCCCCTCCCCCTCTTTGTCTGGTGACGCATAAAATTTTCACCTTATTCTTTATTTTAGATTACTTTTCCCAGAAGTAAAAAGAGTAAAACCAACATTGTAGTGCTACCCAATTTTTCCATAATAAACCACCTTAACCTGCCAATCTTAATTACCTGTTGTTCTTAACTATAACCAGATCGTACCATCATGCACAAACACAAACTTGACCTTAAAAAATATATCACCCTCTGCGCCAACTTCGAACTGGTTATTCATGTACTTTAATGACAGGCCTAGAAGTGGTGTGGGGCATTCTTGTGTGGAACTGTGGGTTATGGACAGTCCCAATTGTGATTGCAGAACTAAGATTTGGTTGTGTAAATACTTCACAGTTTTTGGTTCTTTCTAAGGAGCTTTGAAAGATTTTTTAAGAAAAGGCTGTCTAAATGTGATTTCTTTGGAAACTGATCAGAAATCAGGAAATGAGTATCTTTTAGAGAAAGGGAAAAATGAGAACTTTTTGTTTTGCTGAGAGTTATTGCCTTTTAAGAGTGTCAATTGAGATGTATGGTCTGAAAGTTTGACACAAATCCTTTCTTGTCATTTTGCAGAACAGTGGTTAGTCTTTTGCTGGTACAAGATGCCAGCCAGGGTTTCTCTTCTTGCTGATCTCTGTGTTAAACTGTCAACAGCAATGTTTGAGGACTAGACACCTAAAGGACTCCTACTAATTTCTGCAAATATTTTTGTTTGCTATACTTTGATTTTAATTCTCTTCCGCTCTGTACATACCGTTGGGTTTTGAATGTCACTTGGAATAAACCATCTATTATAGTTTGTACAGCACCTAAGTGCCCAAACATTTGGATCTGTTCTATTCCTCTAGTGCTTTTTTGATATTGATTTTCCAAAAAAAGAATGTTATATGGATTTTCTAGTTTCTAGTTTCCACTATTTGCGCCTAGTCAAAATGTCTTGCTCAAAATTTGGAAAATTCTTGTTTGTGCCAGGTACCGTATTCCTATAGTCATGGACTATCAGGCCCATGGTTACCCCAGACCGGAAATGTAACGGACAGTTTCACTGGGTACCCTATTTCGTCGCTCCTATTTAACATGTATCTATGTTTTTTTTTTCAAGAAGTCAGACTGATGATGCTCAAAAGCATAGGCAACTTCAGACAAAATTGTTTCTGTTATGCCTTTTCTGCTCCTTAGTTGTCTCTTTCTATCTCATTGTATTGGTGTCTATACCTCATTCATTTTAGGTAAAAGAAAAACTTTGAAGTTAATTTTTTTTCTAAAAGGTGACATTCTTTTTCGAGACAAATTAAAAAAGAAAGTGTGCTATATAAATTGGGACAGAAGAAGTATTTCTTATTTGGACCTATAGCAATTGATATTTTGAGAAATGGTCTTGAGTTTTAAATATGAAAAGTAAATTTGAGTGATGTGGTTGTTGGAGAAGTTCAAAAATGGTAGTAGCAAATTGCCATTGTTTTGAAATGAATTTGTTAGATTTTTTGTTGTTTGACAAACTGTGGATTGAAGTTTGTTTTTATGATATATGAACTTATGTTTTAAATTTGATTGTTGAATCATGTATTGAATTGTTGAAATTTAGAGAACAATTGCTAGTTTTAGGCAACCAAAATATCTGCCAAGTATACATTGGACTTCATTGCTAAATGTATGACCTGCAACATCATAGGTCTGAAACTTGGCCTTGCCAGTGTCATAACTTTAGTAAAAAAATTCTAACACTGGCTTTGACAAGCTGTTATATGTCTGAAGTACTATCATTTAAATTTTGTGAAAATTTCATATATGACATATATTAGACTAATATTTTTTAAGTTATAGCAGTAGAATTAAACGTTTAAGTTGTAACATAAAAAATTTCAGGTTGTAACAGTTTCTTAAAAAAAAAAAGCTTTTTTTAAATAATTGTAAAAATTTGTTTTGAAAAAAAAATAAAAAGATAAAAAAATAAAATAATTCGTTTCTAAAAAAATGGGTAAAAAAACGGAAATAAGTGTGTTAATTAAATTTGAATTGATTGAAGATAATTACTAATTAGCATAAATTAAGGAAATTCAAACTAATTAAGAATATTTAGTTTCCTTATTTCACTCTAATTTGTTAAAATTAATTAAAAATTTTGATTTCATCCATTTTCTTCCACGTTTCTCTCTCTTAGATTTTTTTCCAGAAATCTTGTCACTCTCATCTAATTCATATTCGTTTTTATTCAATAATCTTTATTTTCTGGACAGCTTCTTATTAGTATTAATAAAACATGGTGATAGATGGGATCCTTTAGGTTAGTGTTCTTTGCGATTTTTTATTTGTATTGTAATACAAACCAAACGTTCAAAAAGATTATGAACAGTGATTCTGGAAAAAAAAAATATTCAGATTTTGTTTGTGAATAATAGTTTTAATTATGACATTTTTGGTATGAATATTCACTTTTGAAATTACATAAAATTTGTTTGAAATTGGTATAGATTTTTGTTTGAACATTCATTTTTTTGTATGTTTCTGGTTAAAAAATTACATAAAATTTATTTGAATTTGGTATATTGGTTATACCATGTTGGTACGATTTTAGAATTATATTTGAATGAATTTTGTATACTATTTGTCTAATAAATGACAATTAATAGTTAAAAGTGGAATTATTTTAGTATTATAGTGGCATGATTCTGTTGTGAAAAAGTGACGACTTATGTCATGAAATAGGTATAATTTTGGCATGAAATAGGTATGAAAAATGTGCATAATAATTATATGAAATTTGTATACTGATTTCAGATTTTTTGTTGTGTATAATAATTTGAATTATGGCGTTTTTTTAAAAATGTATAATGTTATATTTTGGTATGAACATTGAATTTGTTCATTATTTGTCTGACGCATTTTTTTTGGGTATATTTTTGGTTAAAAAAATAGATAATTTTTTCTTTGAAATTTGTATACTTATACTACCAAGCATGTATGACAATCGATAATGTTTTGGTATGATTGGATTTTTTTTTTGGCATTATATTGTTATGAATTTTGAGAATAATAATGTAATGAATTTGGTATACTGTTTATTAAAGAAATGACAATTAATATTTCTAAGTTGGAATTATTTTGGTATTCTAGTGGCATGATCCTGGTATGAATAATTGATAACTTTTGGCATGAAATACGTAAGAAATGTGTGAATAAGAATTGTATGAAATTTGTATACTGATATAACATATGTGTTTTTACTTTTGTATTCTGTAATAACATATGAAATTATTTTAAAATAACATATGTATTTTTACTTTTGTATGAATTTTGTAAGCATAAAAATGGTATGAAATTTGTATATTGATATAACATATGTATAAAAGTTATTTGTACTTTTGTATGATATAATATTGACACAATAATTTATGATGAAACAGAAAAATATGCAATTCAAAAAGTGTCGGAGCAGAAATTATTGTCGCCTGGTTCAAAAATAATCGTAGGGAGACCACAACTTGTAAATGGCTTGCTGATGTGAAATTCAAGAGGTCTAAGATTACGTGCAGTACATGTCATCGGGAGGAACACAATAGGAAGACATGTTCAAATTACCTTTATGAAAAAAAGACATAATTTATTTTTATTTTGATTTGGTTGTTTTATTGTGGCAAACTCATGTTTTGATTTATTTTGTCTTTTAAGTTAATGAATTATAATTTCAGAATATTTATTATGTGTGCTAATTAATCATTTGTGTATTCAGTGTTTTTCAAATGTATACTCAAAAAATAGGTAATGTTTGTATGCAATTGATATTGACTGGAAAAATTAAGTCAAATCTTAGTATGAAATTGGTATACATTTGGTATCCAACTGACGTCCCAGTGGTAAAATTGATAAAAAAAAATATGTAATTGAGATTTCAACTGAAATAACCTACGTAAAACTAGTTAGTATTGTATCCAATTTGTATAAATTTAGTATTGAATTGATATCCCATTGGAAAATTGAAAAATCAACATGTGGTTGAGATTTCAATCAAATTAGACAACCTAAACAAGTTAATGTTGTATTCAATTGGTATCCGACAGATATCCCACTTGAAAATGAAAAAAACAAAATGTAACTGATATTTCAACCAAATTAGACAATCTAAAACAAGTTAATGTTTTATCCAATTTATATACACTTGGTATCCAACTTGAAATTTTAGAACAAAAACAAAAAATAAAAATGTATAAAATTAGTATCCAACGGGTATAAATCCAGGAAGAATAAATCTGATTGTAAAACAATGCATATTATATATTGTTGTCAGAAATTGTAGCAAAAGAAATATACATCACCCAAAAATCAAAACATGTAATTAAAAGTCTAAACTGCAATAATTAATACAAGTTCTATATTTTCCTCTCTCTTCAATTTATATTCCGTATTCAAGTGTGATTTTTTTTTTTATCATATTTAAGCTAAAACTTAAGATATCCTTATTAAAGATTTTATGATCTCATATTATCTATATGTATCAACAAATTTCAGAATTAAATATACTTATTTCACCAACAAAACAGTATTTTAGATATAGAAAAACACACCAAAAACAAGTTCAAAACTTAAGTAAAACGGTTTTTTTTTCTCAAGAAATCAAGTTTAGATTAATTAAAATAAAAAACGGTATCAAATTTTCAAAATATAGAATTCTTAATTCTAAAAAAATCAGATTAAAAAAAAACAATATCAAAATTTAAAATAAAAAAACATCAAGAAAAGGAAAAAAAAAGATTAAAGAGAGAGAAAATTACATGTTAAAATATACGGTGATAAATTTATTTATTTTTAAAAAATTAAAGGCCCCAATAGTCATTAATAAATAAAAGTTATTTGAATAAGTTAAAAAATCCCTTAAAAGGTGTAATAGATAATTACAAATTGATTCTATCTCATTAATATTATTTCTCTCACCTATTAATTATATAAAAGGAACTGCAATCAATATAATTAAATAATTAATAATATAAAAATATAAAAAGATTAATCATTTAATAAAGTAAATTTTAATTGATTTTTAAATAAAGTTAAATTTAATTGATATGTTATAACCCGTAATTAAACTGTTATAAGTAAGAATTTTTTAAGAGTAGGTTTAAAACTCGTAATATTGTTTCTTAAATGTGTATATGGTGTGATTTTTCCTTAAATTTTTATGTATATAGTTTGGTATTACCAAGGCCATTAACTTTCATAAAAAAAATGGTTGAAATTGGTCTATCAAGGCCACAACTTCAACAAAGAGGAAATTTTCAAAATGTTAATATTTTAGCATTTAATGGGATCTTTTATTAAAATTTTTAATATTTATTAAAAATGTCAATATTTTAGTCTGTTATTCTTTTGATTTATATATTTTTTATTTGTTTTATTTGAAAGAATACAATTATTTTATAACAGAAAGGAGAAATCATGAGAGAGAATATTTTTTTAAAAGGAACATATCAATTAAAATTCTCATAAGTTACAATTTCAAAAGTAATTGATTGAATTCATTCCAATATGTATGACATGTGTATTTGTATTCATTATGGTTTTCATGTTTGAGTTTGTATAGTGGTATTTGTATTTCTTTATTAGTTTGTATTCATTTCAATAGGTATACCAAATGGATTTGTAATTATTTGGATCCATATACTTATGTAAACTCGTATTCATTTAGAAACGATACAACATTAGTTTGTATATTTTCCAAAAACGTATATTCTTTCTTAAAATTTCAACAAAATCTGTATTCCAGTCATCAAAACATACAAACTTACAATCATAATAACAATCAAAATTTGTATTTCATGACAAAAAATGTATT